ATGACAAACTAAACTCTATGAAGTGACTGCGTCAGGTTTCTGCATCCAAAAGCATTAACCTAAGAGCCTGTGAACCTCAGGTCTAATCCACCGTTTTTATTATATAAAAACTAATATTATATGAAAATACTCAATTTTCATAGAAAAACTATAAAATAGGTTGCACGCATTCTTTCTGTCTCTCTATCACACACACACACACATTCACACACATACTTAATCTTTCTCGATAAATGCACTAACTCTATTTCGTTCAGTCATCATCTCTGATTTACAATTTGACAGCACCATCATTTTCACCACCCTCGAGAACCATGAAAACGACACCTATAACGATAAATTGAAAATATCGTGCAACCGCCATCTTGGATTTGCATTTTGACAGCACCATCTTTATACCCTCGAAAACCATGAAGACGACACCATGACGATAAATTCAAAATTTTGTACAGACGCCATCTTGGATTTGCATTTTGACAACACCATCGGCTTTATCACCCTCGAAAACCATGAAACGACACCCATGACGATACATTCAAAATTTTGTGCAGACGCCATCTTGGATTTACATTTTGACAACACCATCGGTTTTATCACCCTCGAAAACCATGAGAACGACACCCATGACGATATATTCAAAATTTTGTGCAGACGCCATCTTGGATTTACATTTTGACAACACCATCGGTTTTATCACCCTCGAAAACCATGAAAAGGACACCCATGACGATAAATTGAAAAATTTTGTGCGCACGCCATCTTGGATTTACAATTTGACAGGACCATCGGCTTTATCACCCTCGAAAACCATGAAAACGACACCCATGACGATAAATTCAAAATTTTGTGCAGACGTCAGCCCTGTTCATTTCCATTTGCTGATTTACTTTATCCAAGTTTTCGAAGATATTATTCATAATAGCTAGTCATTAATTGATTAATTACTAGTCATTACGAATAATATCAAATTAATCACTTTGGCTGTAACATATGTATATACATTTAGGTCAAACTGATACTCCTTTTTTAAAGTCGGTTAAAAAAGAATCATCAAAATACGTTAAAAAACGACGAAGTCATCCCTGAAGGAACATAAAAAAACCTTATAGGTATATAACTTTTCCTTTTTTTAAGTCCGTTATAAATAACAAAGGTCTGGGGTTCATAGGCTCTTGTACTATATGGATTGTCAAATTATTATTTTTTACGGCAACGCTGGGGCTAAAAAAATATTAAAACATTACAATAATAATTTTCCAAATTATTTAGATAATAAATAACTATTAAAATAATATTGTTAATAATTAGATATTGATATTAAATACTTTTTTATATTATCTCCTTATTTCTATAAAATAGTATGCATGTAGTTTGTACTATTTTAATACTGGCATATAATATGTATACTTTTTGCTTGATAAAGAAAAGAAACAAAAACAAAAATTTGAAATGTCAAAATTGTAAAAATTTTTGCCAAAAATATTTTAAATTATTTAATAATTTGTGATGGGATTTTGTGATTGTTTTTCTAAAAAAGGAAGTTCTGCGATGCGTGTTGTGTTTTCTATAAAGGACCTTTTGTATACATGTGTATCACAAATCACAAAAGTACATTGTGTTTGTTTGTCTATTCATTGGACTTGATTTTACAAAGGAACGCTTTAATTTGCGTATATATCTTATTTATAATAAAGAACATCAATACGAAGAATACAATCATGTTGCTGAAGGTAAAACCTACAACAAGTTTATGATTTTTGCTATTGAACCTATTTATACATTTTATTTGATTCATTGAGATACCAAACTATGTAGTTTTTATAAATTTCTACTTTTTCTTTTGTATATTTGTTACAGTGATATTTGGAATTGCTATTGCATCGATATTACTTCAGCATCATCATTGCAGAATATCAATAGTGCAATTTTTTATCGGCAGTTACGAGTCTTACGATGTCCGGATAAAGTGCCGATCTATACCAGCAGTGCTTGAAACCTATTTTAGAGATGGTAAATACTATATTATTCTTGTAACATCAGTAATATCACGTAAGGTACACCTACCTTAGATAAATAAAAGAAAACAAATAAATAAAATACATATTTCTGCATGTAAAAATAATCTTTGTTTTTGTTTTCAGGTACTATTTGGAATTATTCTAACATTCAGACGTATATTGTTGCCTCAAGAAACAAGAAACCCATAGATCGCTGCAAATATTAAAGCCGTATTATTTTTGTAAAACTATTTTTATCTTTGTATTAATGTATATATCATAATTAGAACAACATTTTAAGTACCCACGCACAACAAAGTAATATTAAATTATAAATAAACTAAAATAGGTACATATTCACACCTTAAAAAAATGTTACCTTAGGGCATTAAAAAATTATTTTTCATCGCTATCGTGGAGTAGGGTGCCCAAAAGACTGGCAGCATTATTCTAGGTTTTACTTATTTGTATTCATATATGTAGAGGTCTCTCCTTCTTGGGCTTGACCTGGTGAAAATGGGCACCGCTTCCCGCAACCTGCAGGAAAAACGATGCTCATAGCCCCTTCTAAATTTGACTTATAAATCTCCTTCTTTCTCTTCTGCTGACTACTTGACTACTAACTGGGTGTAGTTTGTGTACCAGATGTGGATTGTGAGCTTCATGTGATGGTTGACTGAGTGGTATGTGGTGTTTGCGCTTGAAATGGTTGTAATTGATCGGAATCTGGAATGTATGTGACGAAAACTGAGTCTCCTAGTACTTTGCTAAGAATGATTATTGTGTGAATGGTGGCTAATGTCTATTTATGTTTCTAGTTTGTCTGTGTATCTGCTGAGGCTTTTGGCTAGTACCTACTCCTGTGGCTCCAATTACTATAGAATTAACATGCGTTTCAATATTTCAAGGCGTCTAGCCTTGAGTTGTGTCTTTAAAAAGTGGTATTTACTGAATTTCTTTTGCTCCTATGTTGTAGTTACATGGTACAGTTATGTCAAAGAGGTATGTGGTGTTGGATGTTTTGTTTGTGTATATTATGTCCGGTCTGTTGTGGGCAACTGTGAAGTCTGTCTGAATTGGGATTTCCCACATTATTTTGCCTGTTTCATTTTCATTTGTATTTATAATAATAATATTACTTTGTTTCATTATAATGTTATAAAAATATTATATTTGAGGATAGGAAAAATCTGTAGTTGTTTAGTAAAAATGACTGTAATATAACTAGATATAGGAAACGACTAAGTCAGGCATTATTAGCAACTAGCAAAAAAAGTACTAAAAAACTGAGACTGACTGAGAGGCAGACTGAGACTTATTTTTAAGCACTATATTTTTCGACATTATAATAATAAGTGCGACTGCCGGGCAAGGGGTCTCGGGTTCGATACCCGGGTCGGGCAAAGTATTACTGGGTTTTAAAAAAATCTCAGTAGTAGTAGAGTAGTCTGGAAATGTGCCCGGTATATGGCAATAGGCTCACCCCCTATTACATGGGACTTATAACATAAATAGTGAAAAGTGGGTGTTACATTGTACAGTGGCATTGAGTGCCGAAATGTGCACCTCTGCCTACCCCTTCGGGGATAAAAAGGCGTGATGTTATGTATGTTATGTTATGTAAATTGTATAATAATTTTGTGTTTTTGTAAATACTGTAAGCGATTCAAATCGATGGTAAAATGTACTACATTTGTGTAGGTATTACGGTTAATTTATATCATTAGATTGTTAACTACTGTTAGGTACTGTGTAAACAACGGTGAACAGTAAATATTTTTAATTTTAGTTCTTTGTGGATCAATAATTAAAAAAATAACTAATTCAAATAAATTTTGAACGACATATTTATATCTGAAATTTGTAAACATAAAAATAAAAAATAACTAAAATTTGAATTATACTTTGAACAAATCTGTCGTCTGATATTTCCCTACTAGCTGATAATTTTTAAATGTTAATTTGTATTTACTGTAAAATAAATGTAATATTGTAATTAATAACTTCTTTGATTTTGCAGCTACCAGACATAGCTAATTCCAATACTACCTTCAATGTACCAACCTGCGAGGTGCATTGTTGGTAGTATTGGCATTAGCTATACTTAGGATTATCTGTAGACATTAGTAAAAAAAAAATATACTAGGATTCAATTTTCAGATGGCGTTTCAAATTGATTGGCATAAATTTTGACGAGTGGTAACTCTTTACCCCTATACTTATTATACTCTTTGATCGGGACGGAACAACAAGCGAAAACATACCAAGCGACAAGAAAGAAACGTGCAACAAGGACAGATACAATGATATGTCAATACGAAGAAAACTACAGCTTCAGCATAAATTAACTTTTATCTCTATCGTTCATTACAAGAGTAAAAGAGATAAAGAATATTTCGTTATGATTCTGGTAACAAAGTGAGAAAAGGACAAAATAAAACATACCATAGAGTAAAATCAGCTGTTGTCAAAAGAGGGTTGTTTGAACTTGTTAGCCTTTTATATTCGTTTATAAAATGGAAATTGCGTTTTACTATTTCGAACTATCAGTTTCGCCTTTTATTTTTTTATTACTCTTATAATTAGACATTACATTACAAATACACTAAAGTTAGTTCGGTTTATCATAATAAACTACCAAAGACAATAAGATAACGTCAAAAAAACAACACTGTCAGTCAAAATGTCTTCACTTCTTCAGTAAAATGTCATTTTGATCATTGAGTGACAGAATAAAAGACTCAATCGTTCACATTTTTCCCAATTTGATAGCCTACCGATACATTAATTGATATATTTTCTTATCATAGTTGCTATCAAATTAAGTTCTTAAATAGGTTAAAGGTCCATTCATTAAACTAATCAACACAGTGCTTTTTCTTAAAATATAGTAAGGAAACTATCCTGTCACTTCGCTTCATAACAATAACCTTTCGTCATTGTGGATAGGCTAATTACGTATAATTAGTACACGAAAATATAATAACAGCGACAGTGACCACGATGGCAAAGGAGGAAGACGACGACAATTTGCCGGACAAGGATGCGGCGAAAGAATTCTACGCGAGATATGAACCGAAGGAAATAATAGGCAGGTGAGAAAATAATAGTTATGTTACGCATAGTACCTAGCGATTTTTGATAAGTTGCGTTGGTGCCAATTTCAAGGAACCAGGGAATTATTTAAAGCGTCTGGGCATCATTACAAGTGTTGTTACTAATAAGTCTTCTGTGTGACCTTGGAATCAAAATCGCTAATTTTATTTTATAATAGCATTTTTGGTAGTGTGAATTATTAGTAAATTTCATGATAATCATTGGTTTGTGTCTTTTTAATTCAAAAAGTAGTTTCGATTCATAGATTTCTGTACACAAATAATAAAATTCTGGGTGGCTTTCCAGTTATAATTTGTAAAGTATAATTAGAATTTTTATCAATGCTTAATCTTGGGTCCATATCCTAGTTGTTCTTGGGTTTTATTCCAACAAAGTGTAGCTTCTTTATTTAACATTAACAAAAGTGAGACCAAAATGTGTTTTCTGATAAGAAATGAAAAAATTAATGAGTTTGAATTATTTAAAATTCAAATAAGATTCGTGATAGACACAAAAATTGCACATAATAATAGCATAGTAACAGGAATTCATTTAACAGTCTGTCATCAATTAATATAATATGCATTGGGTAATTTTTTTCTTAGCATATTTAATATTTTGTTCCACAGAGGCATAAGTTCAACAGTACGAAGATGTATAGAGAAGGAAACTGGAAAGGAGTATGCGGCCAAGATTATAGACCTTAGTCAGGAATCCCAAGATGGAGTGGATACGCATACTATGAGGGATGCAACGCGCCAGGAGATCCACATACTGCGGATGGTTGCCGGACACCCTTATATTAGTGAGTGAGTTGCTAGCCCTATCTAGACAAAAATAAATAATAACTATGTTACTATATATTATGCACGATGGCAAAATCGCATATGGCCTACTTGATAGTATTTGGTTATGGTGGCCTATGAACTGTGACTTAAATAAAAACTAATAAAACTGTAATGTAAGAAAACACGCCTGAGTTTATTGTAGCAATGGCAATGTCACCTATAATAAACATCTTAGGTATCAACACATAATGTTTTCATAAACTGACAACTGAAATAGAACAAGAATCACATATCAAACAATGCTAATTACATCGAAACCGCAAGCACTAATAATGATTTATAATTAATTTTACTTAATACAAATCTAACTATAATTTGTTAACCTACCAATTGCAGGAACTTTTTAATCATATTGTTGTGCCGGAACAAATCACCTGAAGTAAATGTAATTTGTTGCAGTTGAGCTGCAGGATGTGTTCGAGTCGGAAACATTTATATTCTTAGTGTTTGAGCTGTGCAAGAATGGAGAGCTCTTTGACTATCTCACTTCTGTTGTCACTTTATCTGAGAAGAAGACTAGGTATATTATGAGGTGAGTTCTATAATGTTATTTTTATATTTTACTAGCTTTTACCTGCTTCGCTCACATCACAAAAGTATAAAAAGTAGCCTATGTGACTTATACCAATACACACAGCGCCATTGATACCAATACTTTTGCCTCTTGCCACGTTAAATGGCAATGCTTATTTTCTGTAAGAAGAAATAGCCAGCCCTGGTCACGAGTAGAGTCGATGAGCCTATGGGCAATTTATTTATAAAGAATAAGATAAAAAGTTCAACAGAATTTAAAGATACACTTTTTTGTCCAGCAAAAAGGGTGTTTAATGGAAGCCAATTTTTTATTATATATTTTTGATGGGCCGACGATTTTCCACTATCTCGTCTGGTGGTAAGCGACGATACGGTCTACGATGTCTTATTATAATGTCTAAAAATTGTCAATACTTACATTTTGTTCTTCACCTACTTTTTCTCTACACATATAAAAATTCATGTCTTTGTCAATTACGAAGACCAGGAATCGATGAGGAGAGGTTGCCTTACATATCGCTTTGAACCCCTTTAACTATTCTAGTCATACTTACATTCTAATATAGGTACCTACATAGTATCTAGCATTTTGCAGGACTTCTATTATGGTCACCATTATCATATCTTACTAGGTCCCTCACGTGTTGTTATTATCATTAACTATTCCAAGCAACCGGTGACCGCTCTACAGTAACTCCATTATAGACCTTATTTCCGATGTTTAGATATTACTTTTGTATGAACAAATTTTGAGTACGTACAATATATCAACGTATTAAGATCCCAGTTAGCGACTATCCTTAGAGATGGTGTTATTTCTAATCCTGGTTCATAATATTCTTTACTACCTACCGTAAGTTTCCATGAAATACAAGTTCAAATAAAATCAATGTGATCACGCTCTCACGTGGAAATCATAATAGGGTAATAATAATATTAGAAAAGCCTTAACATGCAAACACGTATTTATCAGACCATTGTTTACGCAACAAAGATCTAGCCGTTATCAAACTGTGGACGTAATACTGTGAGAATGTTCGCACTTCACTCATCTCATCTCTTCGTATTCATTTGATGCATCTGTTCAATAATTGCGTTTTCTAATCTTTGCTAATACTGCTTACGTGTTTGTTTGGACTCTGTCTAGTTGTAATTTACGCAACTAATTTATCCTATTCTCGTATTATATTTGTATTTTGAATACTTATCATCCGGGTGCTTGAAAGTTTAAATAATGATTACGTACACGACTAAATGCCTTGATTTTTAGGCATTCAGATGTAATCCGGAACTAATTCGTATTCAGAAGTGTGTGTTTGGACACCTAATCTAGTATTTCTTCTTGTTATAAATTTTTTTTTGATCAATAAATCTGTAGGCTAATCTGAAGAGTAAAGCTAGTCGTTTGGCCCTTATAACCTGAAACAAATAGTTACAACGCATTGTTATTTTCCAATGTGGGTGATAGATAAGACGTGCCATATATAGGGCATTTAGCATATTTATACTAAAATTAGCTCCTGATATTTACGCACCACACTTGTGTGTTTTCAAGGGCATTCTGTTGTGTACTGTGACCTTAAGTACGGGTCATCAAGCTTAGGCAGTTAGGCTTATTCATCTCGCCTGATTAAATTCTATTTTTGAACGATTTCCTAGAAATCTAGTACTTTCTTTGTTAAACAATGACGCAGTTTTAACACTATTTAATAGAGCGTTGTTGAAAAAGCAATTAAAAACAATTTTACTGATTCCATCAGAATACTTTCATCAATTATGTGTGTTGACAAGAAGGAATATGTATTTAAAAAAATCCATTAGTCACACATAGACTAAATGGAATGATGACTATGAGATAAAATCGCAGCACCAAACTGGACTAATCTAGCAAGAGGTCAGTTACCCAATCACTGTTGCTGTCTAGATTTAAAGTTCAGTGGTGTACTTACCATTAGCTAATTCTCTATTGGACGAAAAGTCGAGAGGCCCACAGGAGCACACTAGCGCCATCTGCTCAGCAAAAAACTATGACCATCCCATTGCAGTAAAAGTAGGTCGAGTAAGAGAAAATAATTTATTTATTTATTTATTTAAGGATTATTAAATGTACCACTCTCTTCTCATACCTCAGTCTCGTGGTTTAATAGCGGACAATAATACAACCTTCACCGCCTGTAATCTATTAATTAACACCATTGACCCAATTGGTAACAGTATTCATCTAATCTCAACCTGAATCCGAACAAATTAGATTAATTCATGAGTAAGGTTTCGGTAATGATATCAACTGATTCCGTTTGCTTTAGGAGCTAAAGAGAATATACATAGGATTATGTCACGGTTGTTATGAGTCCCTAGTTACTAGAGCCTGTCTAGTTTGAGGTGTTTGAAATTTTGCTTGGTATAAAGAAATAGTGCCTGCCTCGTTGGCCGAGTGGTCGCAAGTGCGACTGCCGGGCAAGGGATGTCGGGTTCGATTTCCGGGTCGGGCAAAGATTACTGGGTTTTTAAAAAATCTCAGTAGTAGCACGGAGTCTGGAATTGTGTCCGGTATATCGCAATAGGCTCACCCCCTATTACATGGGACTTATAACTAAATAGTGAAAAGTGGGTGTTACATTGTACAGCGGCATAATGTGCACCTCTGCCTACCCCTTCGGGGATAAAAGGCGTGATGTTATGTTATGTTATGTAATGTAATGTTATGTAAAGAAATAGTTTGGATATCAACTTTGTACACGGTTTACAAATCGTTCATTATAAAACACTCATGTATGTGTCGCAAAAAATGTGCAAGGTCATACACAAAAAAAATACACGTCGGCTTGAGAACCTGCTTCGTTTTTTAACCTGTTAAAAAAAGAATGCCGTCATATTGAAGCTATTGATAACAAATAATATAGTTTTCTCAGTCTAAATACTAGGCTTCAATATTCAATTTATTGGAGGAGACATTTTAAGTTTTAATCAGGAAATCTTTTATTTATACATCTATTTTAAATGCTCTTGAATGCCTACGACCTAATCAAAACCGAGGTTGTTCAATGATAATAATTTTACAAGAGAACGACTACCGAAAATTTCACTTTTATGAGCTCTAGAGATCATTGCGACTCCTACGCAATGTTTTATCGTGTTTGCACTTTGTACGCTCGCTGACACGTAAAGAGATGTTTGCGGTCAATAAAATTCGAAAGCATGTTTTTTTTACTTCTATTATCATTACATTTGTTCCTATTTATTCCAGATTTTGTATGTTGTGTTTAGGCCTGTTTTATTCGACTATTTATTATGAATTTATTAGTATAACTGACGATCATGAGGTCTTGAAATAAATCCTAAAGTCCAATAAAGAATCGCCTCAAGGAGCCATCTGACCACCCCAGATGGGGCCCAGTAGAGCTGATGCCAGATACGGAGTCGCGAAAGGCCTTACGGGTGGCCGGGGCTCTGACTCGAAGTGCAGGAGTAGGAACGGGGTGGTTTTTAGTCAGTAAAAGACTGACCTCTCGCCTCACCCAAGGCAGGATAAGTCATTGAAGGATGTCCCCCCTAAAAAAGGTCCAATAAAGAATGGACTTTTCTATTACATTACAGCACAGAATATTTTCATTTTTTTTTTAAAACGTTGTCCCAAACTAACATTTTTTCCTTTGTCGTGGGTGCGTTTATAAACATAAAAGTTCACATACACATAACACCCAGACCCGGAACAACAATTTGTGGATCACTCAAAGAGTTGCTCCGTGCAGGAATCGAACCCGCGACACGTTGCGCAGCAGTGGGTTGCCCGACCACTGCACCAACCGTGTTCTCTTCATTCTCGATTAGGAAAAAATAATGTTAATTGCCACCGCGATTAACACAAATGCAAATATTGGTACTGAGTTTGAATTTGAACCTTTCAAGATATTAGCAATTAGCATCAGTTGCAATAACACTGATGGATAGCCTGATGTTAAAAGCAGTTATCATAGTCTAAGGATACCAGAAGCACCAGGATATCATGAGTTAGAATTAGTAGGGTAATGTAAGCATTTATAATCGTAGGCGGCGTGAGGTAGATATAATTATAAATAGTGTTTGTTTGTGCTATGCGGGTGTTAAACCTAATTAGCATAGCGACCTATAAATGAGTGGTCCTCTTCTATTCACATGTGCATTGTTTATTCTATCAGCAAATGTATACAATTTACTTTGTTTTTTTACAAGGGCGTAAGCGGAAGGACTGAATCAATAACAGTGTGTTTCAGTTTTGTCAAATCTCCCCCGCGAGCCCCCTAACAACAAACTAGTCATCTAATTAGGCCGCGGGTTGAGGCTAGAATTGGCCAAATATTATCTTGGTGATATAAATAACAAATAGGAAAAATGACCTCGTGAAGTAATATTTGTTATCAATTTCCTCACTTCTAAGGAAGGCGTGGCAAATCTGTTTTTTCTCCAATCAGCTTTTATCTGTGTCTGTTTTCGAGAATAAAGGCAACTCATACATTGACCCTCTATTAAGATCCGGCAAAGTACTGACATAAGTACGCACACATGTCCAACGTCATAGTAATTATTTTATCTGTGTGGAGGCGTGTGCACAGATAAACGCCGGGATACGCGTAAATCATACGTTGTAGTAACCCAGTGTTGACTTAGCTCCTGCACTGTTATAGTCTCCTAGTACTTGACCATAGTCGCACATACAATTAAATAATCAATTTAATTTCTTGTAAAAACGGTAAAAATGGCTTTGAGTGTGTTCTTCAAGGTTGAGTTTGAGGAGAAACTTCTAAAACAGAAGGAATCTATCGCGTGTGTTGAGTTTCTTGTTCATTATTACAATTTAGTTTTAGATGTTTTGTTTTATAAGTGGTTGAGGTAAAGTTGTGTTCTTGATTATTTGCTCTTTTAATTTTTAATTTGCCCCCTTAAATAATATTTCTTCAGTGTGATCTTTCTATGAAAAATTGTGTAATTTGTGTTCGTACAGTTAGCAACTTGTATAACAAACTAGCTTCTGCCCGCGACTTCGTACACGTAATCCCATTATTTCCCGTCCCCGTTCGTGATTTTCGGTAAAAAGTAAAAAAAAAAATTTTAAAGTGTCCTATGTCGGTCTCCTGGCTCTAAGCTACCTCCCTACCAATTTTCAGCCAAATCTATTCTGCCATTCTTGAGTTATAAGTGGTGTAACTAACACGACTTTCTTTTATATATATAGATGAGATATCACTGAGACATAATTTTTTGAATTTTAACGTTTTGAGATCTAATCTTGTAAACTTTAAAGTTATTAAAAATCGTTTTGTATTAAGTGCTCATAATTGGTCGTCAAGGTACCAGGACATCATAATTCTAAACACGTTCGATTAATCCTTGCAGACAAGTCCTCGAGGGAGTTCGGCACGTGCATAGTAAGTGCATAGTGCACCGAGATCTGAAGCCCGAGAACATTCTACTGGATGACCAGCTCAACGTCAAGATCACCGATTTCGGTTTCGCGAAGGTGCTCAAAGATGGAGAGAAATTATTCGGTCAGTAGAAGCTTTTCATCTGTATCTAATTAGTCACTTTGTTTTATACTCTACAGAAACTGAATAGCTTTGGAGTCGAACATTAATTTTTAGTTCCTTTTCTTTCAATGGCAACATTATGACATTGTGAATTAACGAACATTGATTGAAAGTTATGGTTATCCTAACTATATTTGCCAAATTCTTCTTTTAACCCCATAAATCTTATTGGAAACACAGATTAACTACTACTGTGGAAGTTGGTCAAATACAGAAACTAGCGTAGGCGATGAAATTCTATTCTCCTCTTTATTTTTAGTCTGTTAAAAATACAAAGATAAGCTTTTTAGAATAGCTAACTTGAAATTAATTAAGGCCAGGTGGAAGACAATGATAGTAACGTCAGTTTTATTTTTTAATTTAAGTATTTTTATTTTACTGATATTATAGACTATTTCATAGCATAGCTACTAAGTAATTACATACAGTTGCAACACTCACATTGGTGGTACATGCTCGTCACGGACTGTGGCGCTGTGCATCTAGTCTTACATCTGGTTCCAACACAATACCCAGTAGTTTCACTCGCAGAACAAAAGCTATTGTTTATGTTTATGATGTCCTGGTACCTTGGTTGTACCTTCATGTAGTCCTTTGTTGGTATTAATTAATTTTTCAGAAAGCTTTTGTGCATATTAATTAATCGAGGGGTCACAATATTAATTTTAGAAATTCTGAGTAGCAGTATGGGTTTGGAAATTGTGGCCATGTCAATCACTTCGGGTATAAAAAAAAATAAGTTTGAACTGTGCAAAACTAACGGATCTTTCTTTATTAATATAGGAATGTTTCCCCATTACAGAGCTGTGTGGTACTCCGGGCTACTTGGCTCCCGAGACCCTCAAAGCCAACATGTTCGATGACGCACCTGGTTATGGCAAGGAAGTTGACATGTGAGTAACTTTGAATATTTTTATGAGAAATGAAAGGTGTGACTGTGGTGTTAAGGTATTTAACTAAATAAGGACAGTTACAATATACTATATACTATGGTTCAATATACTATGGGTCCCTGGCATGGGTTGAAACTAGTTGAGCTACCTCGTAACAGAGGCCTAAGTAGGAGTTTGGTTTATGTAATCTATTCACTCAGGGCCTTAAAGGAAGCAAGGTTCCCCTCTAGAACCACAGACTTTAGCAAGAAATTATTCTTCTTAACGATTCTTATTAGAAAAAAAAAATCATTCTCAAAATCTCAAATACGCGTTTTTGGATATTATGTAACAAGATTCGTGCGCATACGCATTGATTTCAGCTTATTGGACTAGAACGTCTAGGTCAAATTTCCAAATGTAGAAATCTGTTGCATTTTTCAAATTACTGCTAACAACGCGAACGAAATTTGACATGCAATAACTAATAGGAGGAAGAATAATTTTATTGCAGTACCACTTTATGATTTTGAAGGTAAATCATGCTTATTAATATGTGGTGCCATAGATCACCATTTGCAAAAAAGAATGGCCGCCATTCACGAGAGGATAAGCCGTTTTTTAAGGGGGGAAAATCATCGAATGATTTCTCCCATCTGGGTGCAGCGGGAGGGAGTGTCAGACTCTTACTGACTAAAAACGACACCCTTCCTACTCCTGCACTTTGACCCGGAGCCCCAGCAACCTTTTACGTTCTTCGGCGCTCCGTTTCGGCATCAGCCCTAGGTATTAGACCCCAACCGTGGTGGTCTGATGGCTCTTCGAGGCACGCACGTACGCTCGGGAGAGGCTGGGCCTGTTCCATCGCAGATGACATCATCGCTTACCAGCAGGCGAGATAGCGTAGTAAAACGCAGGCTTAGTATTTATTACCTTCCGCCAGCGGTTTCGCTCGCATTTCTATGGAATGAAAAGTGGCCTCTGTGTTATGTTGGCTCCGGTTCGACGTGCAGGAGAAGGAACGGGGTGGTTTTTAGTCAGTAAGAGTCTGACACTACCTCCCGCCTCACCCAGGCGGGAGCAGTCATTCGATGATTTTCCCACCTTTAAAAAAATTGGTTGCCTGTAAAGTCGGTATACGGGCGAAAGTTTTACGTGACAACGACTTTGAGTGGTAAAATAATTTAAATGTGAATATTCTTTCGTATAGTAGGAAGAAGGATGAAATAATATCTCTCTCACTCTCTCTCTCTCTCTCTCGCTCTGTCTCTCTCGCTCTTAGGCGGGCTAACTGGGCTCGAGTGGAAGGGACGCGTGCCTTTCACTTTTTATGTCTGTCTCTCTCGCTCTTAGGCGGGCTAACCATGCCCGAGTGGAAGGGACGCGTGCCTCTCACTCGCTCTCATTGTGAGCGCATAACGTGAGTGGAGCGTAACGCAGTTTCTTAAAGTGTCACCCGGCAAACCAATTTATAAGACGTTGTCACGTCAAAAAAAAAGTCCATAATTTACTTCTGTTACAAATTTCATTCCGATCCCTTTGGCCGTTTTGACGTGAAAGAGTAACACACACACACATACATGTATATCCTGACAAACTTTCGTATTTATAATATTAGTAGGAATTAGTAGGATTAGTAGGATAGGGGGATAGTCTGGAACATTGTCCGGTAGATGACAAAAGGCTCACCCCCTATTACATGGGACTCACAACATAAGTAGTGATTACACATTACGGCATTCAGTACCGTAATGTGCACCGCTATTTACCTTTTCGGGGATAAAATCAGTGATGTTATGTAGGATAGTAAGTAGGTTTGAAAAAAAAGGGTTTAAATGTATGACAATATCTACTCGTACCTCTAAGTTTGTAGCTTTGAAAAAAAAAAGGTATAAATGTAACTATATTTTTTTCTCGTTCCCAAGTTTGTTATGAAACCTAACTTTATTTAATAAATATAAAATGATATAGTATTTTATATTAAACATGTTAGTTTTGTCTAAAGAATCGTTGATACGCTGACATTTGACCCAAAGTTACGCAATAATCAGTAAAGATAGATAAACGATGATTTTGCTGGCTCATATCTTAAATGATGCGTGGCAATATAAAAATGATTAGATGCCATATATTTATCTAAGTATGTATAATTATAGCAAAGAAACTTCCTTGTCTCTGTGTTTATTTAATGAGTTTCGTCCCGCTTATTCAATTTTTATAAAACTTTAACATATTTTTTAAAAATTTTTTTTTTTTTTAATTGTAAAGAACCTGTCTTTGTATTTTCTGATTCATTGTAGTTTACATATTACGAACAATGAACTCAAAAAATACTGAATAAATTTTTATACTGTTCTGAGAATGATTGAGAAGGATAATTTTAGCATGTTATTTAAAAGGTTATAATCGAATAAGCACTAATGAGGACATACAAAACCTGGACAGATGTAGCATTTAACATATTGATATTAACAGTCCATGAGATATATGCTATGGTATCTACACTTGATAGTCCTCTTGGATATCTTAGTTTAGAACGTCCTGATTTATCCGATCTACTCCATCTCTGTTAATCGGCTCTAAGTGTGTCTCCACATCTGGCGAATGTTCCGCGAATGTGCAGCTCGCGAGTCGTTTGCGCGCGTTTTCATCTGAACTTCGAACCTTGAATAAGTTACACTTCAGAGGTACGACAAACCATTGCCGTCGGAGTCGCGGACAACCTAACGGGTAACCGGGGCTCCGGCTCGACGTGCAGGAGAAGGAACGGGGTGGTTTTTAGTCAGTAAGAGTCTGACACTCCCTTCCGCCTCACCCAGGCGGGAGCAGTCATTCGATGATTTTCCCCCCTTAAAAAAAAAACCATTGCCGTGACTGCACGCACGCAGCCTGCAAACGGCTACACATGCGCGGAACAGTCCTTACATGTAGGCGCCCCCTAAGATCCACAAGAAGAACAAGGGTTGTGAAATGTCACAACCCTTTGAGAGAATAACACTAATATTATAAATGTGAATGTTTCTCCTCTATGGATGTTTGTCCGTCAATCACGCTGATACTAGTAACCCCTCGAGCGTCCTTGTGAGCACCCGGTGGATCATAAGAAAAAATGCTACATGCTGCTTTCTCTTTTATAAAATCTATTTTTAATGTTTTGTTTTTATTTTGACTGTATTTTTATTTCTATTGTAATGATCCTTGTTTTCGTGTGCCTATGGCCAAATAAATGCATTGCCTTTCTTTCTTACTTTCTCCAAATGTCACGTGGGCACCCGTTGGATCATAAGGAACGCGGACGCTCGACGGGTTAAACGAATTTTGATGAAATTTGATATACAGGCAGGGTTGGGCTGACTTAGATGATAGGATATTTTATCCCGATTAAATGCTACATGGGATAAAACAGGAATAATATTCTCCGCGGACGAAGTCGCAGACAATGTTGGAAATTGTCTGTATCCACCTGAATTAAAAGAATTATGTTATTGTCACTCAAATTGACCATTGTAATGTATTGTTCTACATACCGACGTATGTATATGTAATTTTTTTCTTTTATCGTTTCAGATGGGCGTGTGGCGTCATCATGTTTACTTTGTAAGTGTATATTGTTATTATTTCTTACTAATATCTGTCTATACTGGCGAAAACTAGATGTACTGAATATATAGATATCGAAATAGGTTATAAATCTTGAAAAACAGGTTCTGGTAATAAACAGCCTCGTTGACCAGTCGGTCCAGTTGCCGATTTGAAGCCGAAAATATTTGGGATTATTAATTCTAAAATGTTCTAAACTTCTGGAGTTATATCCAGTGTTTTGTCTTGTCTTGCTATCTATTCCTTAATGTAGTAATATACACAGCGCCATCTATACCAATAATTTCGTTTTCCCCTCGAGAATATCAAATTTTTCCGGGATAAAAAGTACCCTATTATTTAATCCAGACTTCTAACTTCACATCTGCAAAAATTCAAAGCAATCGGTTTAGTAGTTACGGCGTGAAAGTGGAACAAACAAACAAAAAAACTCACTTTCCGATTTATAATATTAGTAAGGATTAGTAGGCATTATATTGTTACCAGAAGGCTGAAGAGTGATAGACTGCCTTTTTTAATATTACTGACACTCCAATTTTATTTATCTGCATAGATATAATCTTACTGTCCATTTCTATTCTACTATATAATATGATTGAACTGCGTTTGTCTTTCGATAGATTTTCTTAAGTTAACATTAACATACATGTTTCCAGATTAGTCGGTTGTCCTCCATTCTGGCATCGGAAGCAGATGGTGATGCTGCGGAATATCATGGAGGGGAAGTATTCCTTCACCAGCCCGGAGTGGGCGGATATTTCAGGTAAGCATAATCTTGTATGCCAGCCTAAATATTTGGTATGCAGGTAAGAATATTAATGTTGGTTCAGTATATAAGGTGTTGTTGTAAAGCCGCGTCATTTTCTAGGAGGTAACTCGGCTATCGATTCTGAGCCCGAATCAATAAAAAATTGTAGGTAAATATTTTTCATTTTTCTGTAAATTACGAAAATCCGTAAGTGCGAACTACACGCCGCCGTCTTGTCACTGGTTTTATAACGCGGCTTAACGCACACAAACTCAAACACGTAATTGATATTATTCCTAATTCCATAAAACTCCAATAAGGAACATTGCTGTCGCTTATTCTGGAATACTGGCGAACTTAAACGAACCTGTATGAACGTGATATGCCCCCGAGAAATGTCACAGTTTCAAAACTACACCTGGTATAGAGACAGTGGCTACTTAGCTCGCGTTGTACTTAAGTTTTTGAAGTGTTAAATTTTAAATGAAATGAAGCTGCTGTCGTGGTGGTGTAAAGGCGCCTATAGTTTATATACCTTGTTGACTACATTTATGAATACCAGCTATAAGGTCTGAATGATAATGAAATTATGTAAATAGAGATTTGCTAGTTGTCTATGAATCTATATCCAGTCGTAGGGAATTAATTGTGTTCTCTGTAACATTAAAATATCTATTATATATTTGAACTGCTGCTATAAATCGATTTACTTATTGATTACAGATGACCCAAAGGATTTAATTAGGCGGCTCCTAGTGGTGGAGCCGAGCGAAAGACTTGGCATCATCGACGCCCTCAACCATCCCTTCTTCAACACGATGGTGAGCGCTCTCTCTAAACATGATCTCCTGGTAGTTAGACATCGGTGTATTGATTTTTATAGGGTGATTTCCTTAGTCAAAAGTGAATTATTATTACTATTACGTCTATTAGAGTAATTATAAAATTTGTAACAATCTCTTTTGGTTTATTTTGATATTTTTTAACTTATTTAGTAGATATGAAACAACAATTATGACTTCCTAAAGTGCAATTTCAACAAACACGAAATTAAGAATTGAATTTGACAAGTCGAAAACTACCCTATTATTATAAAGCTTGCAATAAATCCCTTTTGTTAAAGTTTCTAGTCGATTTTAAATTACATGTAATCGACCATATTTCGCTTCAGATTTCTTGTGCTTTTAAAGCTTTATTTGAATAGCTTATTCGACTAATACAGCAAAAAACAGTTGTTATTAATTTATTTGTTTCAATTTTATTCCTACGTGCACTTAAACAGTGCATGATGCACTGTAGAGCTTTTTTCTTTTATTTTTGCTCTTTTTATTTGTTCCTAGTTATTTGATTTTCAAAAAGAAACCCTAAATTTCCATATTATGTTTCAAATTTTGGATTTTCTAAGCAAAGGGCAAGTAAAAGTTTTGCTAACCTGAATCACATAACTAGGAACTCATATCCACAAAGCAATTATGTTGAAACACAATACAACTGCTACATATTTCTGCATCCCTGGTAGTTATGGGATCAAGACATGATGCCGCTCAAGAAATCCTTGTCCAGTACCAGCCGTCGGATGTCTAGGATCGACCAGTTGGCTATGGTAATCTCATTGTGACTAATTTTTAATATTTGGGCAATAGTTATGACGAATTTTATCCACATACATACATTAAAGGGAAATAATGTCATGCATGGATATAAAAAAAAATATTGTAAATATTTCTAACTAATCTGAATTATCTTTTTTTTTATAAGAAATGGCACACGTGTTATCAGTTCTGGGTAGCTGATGAAAGGCCGAGTTATAACAAAACGTAGTAAATGTTATTAAAAAGTAACGTCATATCTATTCAGTACTTTATTGCAACATTTTGTGTGAACTGTAATGTTTTAATGACTAAAATCTTCCCCCTTATATTTTAATATAGTTTTCCTATTAAAATAGTGAGTTACTAATGTTTTCGGGGATGTCTTCAATGTTTGTGTCGTTATAAACTGAAAAAAGGTGGTTTAGGATATATGATATCATTTTTATAAAAAATCTTGCTTGGGGTACTTTTTGAACACTCACAAAACTCAATTACACACTCACACACACTTACACTAGCACTCAAATAAATAAAATAAAAACTTAACACGAACAAGTGTAGATACGGATATTTATACAAAATAGCACAATCTCAATTATAAATAAGAAATTCAAAAATGGTATTAACAACAAAAATATTATATTTACAGTTTAATAACGTAACTATTTGGCGAGATAACTCGACTATGGGCCCCTAACGTGGCCCGAAATTAGTCTAGTTAACTCAAATGGTTACGAGATTAAAACGTAAAACGTAATTCGATATTAAAGAACGCATACAATAAATTTTACAAAAATATCAATGTTTGGACTCAGTTTCATACAAATGTTTTTTATTTCAATACTGTAGTGAACTGTGCTATTTTGTTTGCACGTCGTCCTAAATGCTTTGCTCTCAATTTCTTTTGCATGTTATTATGAGTTTTCTATTTAGCTTCTCTTTGCATGACATTTTTAGAATCACAAAATAAGAAGTAAAATACAGGTGTTTGATTTATTGGTGGAATATGCAACTTTAATTGAATGTTTTGTTTATATTAGTTGTGGAAAACATTATGATAGAAATAAAAATATGAATGTGTGATATGTAATCAAGTTAGTATTAGAATATTTTTCAGTTTGTGGTATTGCAACTACTTATCAATTATGGGAACTTATTGATATCTTTATTGTTTTTATAAAGCAATAGGCTCACCCCCTATTACATGGGACTCATGACATAAGTAGTGAAATGTGGGTTTTACGTTGTACAGTGGCATAAAGTGTCGTAATGTGCACCTCTGCCTATCCCTTCGGGGGATAATAGGCTTGATGTTATTTTATGTGTTTTATAAAGTGTTAATTAAGGTGTTAATTTGGTCAAAAAAGGGTAAATAATGTCTTCCACAACTACGTTCCTATAGTTATTATGTACACATAGTATGAGTGCGTTTATATAACAGGCTATAAAGAGCGGCGGGTTCAACGCGCGCGGCAAGTTGCGCGTGGCGCTGGTGGCGGTGCGCGCGGCCGTGCGCCTGCGTCGTCTGCCGCACGCCGCCGCGCGCGCACTGCCGCTCGCCGACGCGCTACGTGACCCCTATACTATGCGCGTTCTCAGAAAGGTATGACTAACTATTATTTTTTCCTAAAAGTCCTATTCAGATAAGTTACAATGCATTTATTTGAATAAATGCTTTTATTAGAATGCAGACTTCAAGTGTGCCTTTTATAATTTGAAGCATTATAATGGCTTGTTTATTTTAAACCTCAAGATTGTCTTGTTGATTGGAGCCTGGAATGGTGCTCGGTATATGGCAATAGGCTCACCCCCTATTACATGGGACTCATAACATAAATAGTCAAAAGTGGGTGTTACATTGTACAATTTGTACAGTGGCATTACGGAACCTCCGTAATGTACACCTCTACCTTCGAGGATAAAAGGCGTGATGGTATGTTATGTATTGTCCTAATATTTAGACTGCACTAAAACGTTACATTTTAAATTCTAGGTCATCGACGGATGCGCTTTCCGCGTTTACGGGCATTGGGTGAAGAAAGGCGAGGGGCAGAATCGTGCCGCCCTCTTCGAGAACACGCCTAAGACGGAGCTGAAAAGCTTGTATGTCAGCAACCTCAGCCGATAGCCACATGCCCGCTATGTCGGGAGACATCCTTGCCGCTGCTGCGATCCTGGTACATTGGTAAGTTCATCAACGGACCATGAGAGTCCACTGCTGGACTTTGGCCCCTCTACATGGGAGGGGTTTTCATAATCTCCAAACTTGATGCGGAGGGGGAGGGCTTGGAGATCGCAGTTCAAAAGAATCAGGTATATTATAGAATGCTGCTGACATTTGTTTATGCGAACAAAATCTTAAAAATTGGCGAGCGTGTTAGTGTTTCGCTGGTCGACACAGCACACATATGATTTTTATTTTTCCTGGTAGCTATTTTTCCTGAAAGGTTTATTTATCACTGGATTTTGCTCATCCAAGTTTCAGTTATTACATATAATCCATAATTTAGTAAATATGTAGTTCGTAGTACCGCCCGTGGGAATCCAACGTTAAATTGCAAAACAATTGCTCAAAACCACATAGGTAATGTGCTGAACGTGTCAGTCACAACGATCTCAGCAAAACTTTCAACTTTCTCTTTTTTCTCCAGGAGCAGTTCAAGTACCAGGGTTGCAGAATAATCGAAGAAGTGATCTTCGGCCAACTAATCAAGTCCGAAGTGTGAACGAGTGATGTAGGTTAGTCGTAGTTACTGCGAGTAGTGTCATGCTACCTTGGTACACTAGTTCAATTGTCTAACTGTATTATTGAATGCCTGCAGTTGGCTAAACAACCGTAGTCAACATCAAATAGTGTAAATTACATTTCTAAATTAGTACAAGAATGAAAGGTAAGCAATAAGAATTGCTGTGATCACGAATTATTATCTTGTGTTAGTTGTTAATTGTTTTTCTCACTATTTTAAGGTCCACATTAGAGATAATTTAGTATTATTCGAGTCCTGTATAAATATTGTATTGATCAAATTAGTTTAACAGATTTTTTATTAACAATAGCGGGTATGTGTGATGAAGAACTTTACCTACAACAAATTATTGATAGTTGCGATACTAGTGCGTACAAAAAATAGCTGTATAGTCTACATGTAGCTACAGACGTGAAAATAAAAGATATCACAATAAGGTGCCTTCTCAGTTCGTGGTGCGAGAATTTATATCATTTTACAATAGTTATATTTAATTTGAAAAATGTTTGGTGTGTAAACTAAGGAAATGTTTCGAAAACTTTTTGTTGCAAATATTTCGATCGCAAATGCAATAATTAATAAGAATTGGAAAGAATCAGACGAAATGTTTGATTAAAAATAAAAATAAGTGTGTTTGACTAGAATAGTGGAAATATTTTGTTAAAACGTTTTACGAAGGGATTTATTGAGATTTCGTATTTGTTATAAATAAGTAAATATGTGATTTTTTCCTCTCAGATATCATACATCGCTTTGTACAGTTGCTTCTACTTCTTATAGCCAAGTAATTTAGCCGAAACAATGATCCGAAAAAAAAAAACACTACTTTACTATAGTTGTAATATTGCCGCGAGAATCTACATCGACTACTGGATATAAATCAAGAGTACAGTGTACCGACTACAAACCAAGCCCATATTAAAACTACTTAATATAAATATTATTGTCTACTTATTTTTATTTATTTTGTTATGGGGACAAACGGCAAAACAAACACGTTTCGCAATATTACATAACTTTGAAAAAAACATTTTTGTTTAAACTTAATTCTGATTGTAATCGCCTTTAGAAAAAATATTGTAATTATAATACCTATATGTCTTTTGTATATTTATTTTATCATATTATATAATGTATAAGCAAAGTCAGACATATTATGTTAGTCATGTTTTTAAGTTCCGACAAAACAACCTACCTACTAGTTACTAATATTTTTGTATGAAATCTCTAAATCTAATTATATTAGATATTAAAATATATATTTTTTGTACTGATTGAAACATTTCTTGCTTCTATTTAGAGTTAGTGAATAAATGATGAATGTAAATACAGTTCTAACTTACTTTTTTCCTACATATGGGTAGTTTTCCTCAGTCAAAAATCTATTAATTATTTCGACATTTTAATACAACAAAATATAAAAGACAAAGATTTGACGATATTATATCGTCATAATTTTCGTAAATATTTATTTGGCTATTAAAGAAAAAATAAAAGTGTGATATTTGACGTAAAAAAAGGACGTCACAACTCACTATGTCAAAAGAATTCATATAACATTATTTTCTTTTTTAACCGATTTAAAGAAGGTGGAGGTTATAAATTCGACCTTTATAATGTTTTTGACATTTCTAAATGTGTAATTGTAATTGACTAGTTGGAAAATTGCCCTACTCAGATTGTCTATAGACCTATTTATTATTAAGTGTAAGCTTTACTGTAAAAAGCATTCTAAAAAGTTATTCAGCGAAGAATAACGAATTAAAGACAGCTTCTCGGTTATCAAAACACATGTTATTATCCCTTTTAGACAAATAAATTTATTTAAAACATATTTTTTGAAGTTTTGTACTGCTCCTAAACCTAATCCTTACCTAGATGTCTGAAAAAAGAATACATATTTCGTCCGTTACATTTTTTTGCGAATGAATGACAATTAGACATTAAATATTCGACAAAGAGTGACAATAAACATGAAAATAATATTCTACTACGAGTCTAGTAAAAAAACATCTGTTCCTAAGGGTGTCCCTTTTTTGTGCCAGCATTGTATAAGACAGCTGTTTTTTTTTTGACTTACGATATCGGTCCCGTAGTAAAATTTGTAAATCTTAAGAAGTTCTAAAAAAAAACTTTTTCATACCCAATACAGTCGTGAGTTTGTGAGCTAAACTGTGTTCACTTTCCTGATCATTAATTTCCGTCTGAAATAAGAAATGGAACTCAAGAAAATTATACGTATTCTCATTGCATAACACGACGCATAATTGATATAATGCGTATTACAACTTTCCTGGATTTGTTCCAAAAATGACGAACTTTATTTTCCTTCAGCGCGTTGTAATTTCTCCCCTACTCTCTCAACGTAACTACTCGCGCAAGGCACGTAATTGTGTACTTGTTTACAACTCACAAACTTTTATGGTGTACCATTCTGACTCCATGGCCCACAGGATAGAGTTCATTTCACCTTTTACGAAAATTCCTTTGTTAGCTGAAGTACTGAATGAATAGGTTCAGTCCCTTCAAACCATAGTTTTAGTAATTGCACCTTGAAAACTTTATAAAAAATCACAAAATAACAAATCTATAATTAGTTTAGCCTTCTTCAATCTAATCTTACCTCAAAAAGATAGTTCATAAAAATTCAATGAACCTAACAACTTGTTAAGTCCACGATAACCGAGGAAGTGAAAGTCGGCCGGAGCTACGCACGTGCGCGACTCGCAGATCGCTCTAACTAGGCGACGCAGTAGTACAGACACTAATTATTTTGTTGTAGATAACGTTCAGATTGATTTTTAACAGAAAATATTAACGAATACACAGGAAAAGTATTAGATAAACAAAGCTAGAGTGTGCCGCGTCACCGGCTTGCGGGCGGGGGCATGCATTCGATCCCTGCAATGGCATCGATCGCGCACGCCCCGTGCTACGTCGCCGCGGGCCGCCCGCTCATTGGTCCGGCTGCGCAGTCACGTGACCGGGCCGCTACCGCGCCATTGGCTCGTAGTGGCGGCGGCCACGTGAGCGGCGCGCGGCGCGCGTGGCCAGTCGCGGCGTGACAGCGGGCGCGCTTGTACCGCGCGGGCCGTGCCGCCCGTCCGACATGAGCCTGCTCGACACGCTGCTCGAGGCGGCGCGCTTCATCGAGCTGCAGGAGCGGCGCCTCCAGGCCGGTGAGTACCGACCAGTGTCCGTGTCCGCACCGCCCGCCGTCAGCTCTCCGCTCTCGCCGCCACACGTCACGAGTGAAACCGGTCCCTGGGCGTGCGCCGATTCGCGAGCGTCCAGTCGCCGGCGCGCCGGTGCAGCGAGCCGACGCCCGACGCTCTTGACCTTGAACAGCACGCAGCCGCACCGCCCCCCACCTCCACGCGCTCCCGGCCGCGCTGGCCTCGCCCCACGTAAACAAAGGAAGCCTGAAATTTACTCGTCGGACGCCACGCACCGCACGTCCACCTCCGTTTACGATTACTGCCTGTTTCGTTTACGACACACCGATGCCCACTGTTATCTGTCGTGTTCGGCTGTATTCGTAATATCGTACGACTGCACACACTCTAAAATGTTTTTATTCGCGCACACAATAATACGACAAAAGGCACACGTACAAAACAAAATCATAACGTATTTTCCTAGTCCGAGTGGGTGGTAGGTAAGCGGTCTGTGCAATGTATACGTGGAGCGAGTTAGTCAACATAACGCATGACGCATTGCTTTGGACGAGGCAGGCAGGGGGCGCTCGAGAGTTCGGTCAGCTGATCGACGCGTGTGCCGGGCCAGGCAGGGGGGCGGCGGTGCGCAGCGCGGCGCGGTGCGGGGGGAGGGGTGCGACGTGTGCACACGCATCGCAAGGCACGGCCAATGCGCTTCACAATATGCATTTTAAAGTAATTTTAACTCCACATCCTCTCGAAGTGTGTAGACACTTAGGTTTTCGAATGTTTACCTCAAGAAAAACTAGCACAAGGCACGGTTGCGTAACGGTGCGTGCGTTCGTATCTACTTCATAGACACCTATTGTTCTAACTACTCGATGAACGCATTGTCTTATTGTACATTATCGAATCTGTAGGTAAACGCCTCCGTTTACAAGACACAGTACACTAAATGAACTGCTTCACCGTTAATAACGTTTTGTTTGCAATGATTTAACTGTAATATTTATTATGCTTGTGTAAATTAGCATTCAGAAATCTACCTAAACTCTTTCGACTCCAAAAATTATTACAGTAAACTGTCAACACTGAACAACCACATAAACCAACTTATGGCATTTTGTAAACAAACAACTATCTTATCGATAGCTAATTAATGTATCAAGAAATACGATTAAAAAGGCCAAACAATGTGTATAGGTACAAGATATTTCTTTTGTATTTGTATCCTTCTTTAGCAACGAGTTCGTCGGCTGGCTTCCGCAATACTTTCTTTGTGATGCAAAGCAAAAAATCTTGAATGCACAACTACTCGCCGTCACAAATAGGGTCACAAATCCTATTTAATCGTAAAAAGTTTCTATTGTACTAAAAATAGAGGCTCATAACAATTCTGGTCATAAAAGAGGGTTGCCGAAAGTGGAATTTACAATTCAAGTTGAAGCTAAAATATTGTCCTCATACTTCCTCTAGATGAAACACAATTTGGCTGATGCTGGGAAACTCAAAATAAAGTTATTTGCGTTATCAAAAATTACAAAGACTGAATCTAAAATTTTTAGATCGGACATGGAACCTTTTGCAGTAGAACTAACTGTGCAACATCCCATAAAAATATGCAGATTTTATCGAAAAGTCAGTAACGGAGTATACGAAATAGTACTAAACCAAACTTTCTAAAATGTTGTAGATCCAAAAAGAAAAGTTACCATACTGTGATACAAATTCCAAAATAATCAATGAAGTTATTCGATAACTGGATCTAAAGACGCATGAAAAGACTAAAAGTTATTTCTACGTATCTATTCTATGGTTGATAAATGACAATGAAAGTAACAATCTAGTTACAAAGATTATGAAAATTATGAACGATAAACCAGGAATGAGAAAAGAAGTTCAGTTAGAACACAACGCCGGTATCACGCCGGTCTGCAAACCGTGTTATCATGTTTGCCCTACACTTATCAGTGGTCGCTGCTAGCCGATACGTATAGGTCTACGTATAGTGGCTTAGGCTTTAGTACCGTTTTACCGACGACGTGACTACAGCCGAAGCACGATATCCTATCTAAAATCAAAGCGCTCCTACACTATTCTATGACGCTCGAGTACGACTTGTGACTTTCCTTTCGTACAGTTTGACTCTGCCGTTTTAATTTCCACGCATTTACATTATCTTGTATAACATAAATATGTATTGTTTGTATCAGTTCTGTTATTGCGACTTACATTTCATGGCACCGCACGTTCATCCTACTTTATGCGTGTAGGTTCCTATTATTGCTGCGGTCGATTCTTTGCGTCACACTGTTTTCGAACTGCCGAACATGTAATAGCTTGACACTTAACGCGTACCTTTGTATTGTGCAATATTCGCCTATATTGTTCCATGAATAAGGACCCAATATTCAACAAGCCTTCATTTAAGTAAAAGAAAAAACTATACAAACGTATATTTGTTTAGCAGATATGTCGTGATAGTGTAGAAGTGGAATAAGTGGCGTAAACTATGTCTAAAATGCTGTAGCCAAATCTAGCGTGTCTGCGATTAAGTCACGGTTGGTTGACGATATTCTACTGTTCATAATAATACTTTTACGCCGCTTCTAATTAGTGGGCCCCTCGGTACTGGCAGTTAAGTAGGCGCGGCAAACAATCGTATCATCAAGGCTCGTGTAAGGTCGACGCCGCGACGGTACCGGGCGAGCAGAATGGTGAAAGGGATCGCGTGACCTCGCCATCTGCGACTGGTCTGTGAGGACGCGTACGTACGTTCGTGCCATAGTATATTGAACTTCGGAGGAAACGTCGCGCTGCCGCTGCGGCGCGATGCGACGCACAGCGTTGCAGCCATTAGTCACACAAACGAGTGCCTGTGTTTCTACTTGCAGAAAGCCGATAAGATAATCTGAGTGCCTCTACGCGTGGAAATGTCTCTGCGTTGAATACTTAGTGCGTATCACGCTGTTCGCTTAAATAAATCGGAGGCTTCGACCGATAATATAATTGAATCGAATCCGTCGGAGACAAAATCCTCGTTTTTCTGAATGTTCCCTGTTAATATCTGAATAATTGAATTGTTAATATTTCGCCAGGAAACTGAATAGAGAGAGTGTATAACATTATCTAAATATTGCTTATGTATTAGAATTCGGCAACGGTAACTTCAGCCAACTACCGTTAGTTTTAACATTTCCAATCATTTGGAATACATATTTGAAATGATTATAAACGTAACAACATTCTGCGCTTGTGCTGTATAAAGTTGCCATTTAATATTTTGCAAGAAGTGAAGCGGACAATATTAGGATCATAAGAATAGGAATAAACTATTTTTTGCTGCCTTCGACGGAATATCGTGCAAAAACTAAATGTACCACTTGATTTATATGAATCGTTAATCAATTCCTGACTTGTTCTGTTCATTAGCAATTTTTCTTTATACATTTTGGGCGTCTGTTAACTGATTTTGTATACTCTAGCTTATCGTCGAAATCAATTGCATAAATCAGGGAGCTTTCGCACGAGGCAGACGGCTCATATCTCGACATCCGGGCGGGGGGATCCCCCCCTTTCCCAGCAGTGTTTCCACTACGACTCACATGTCGTTAATGTTGTTATTGATTGTTCAAATAAGAATTTTTTTATTTATATTTGCGGTGTCACAAGCGCCAAGAAGAATGGTCACTAGTGCTAATAGCACTGTGTGTGTGACAGCAGACTTGACTTGAATTCTAAACCTGGTGTTAATGAAAATCTGCATTTGAATTGGTTAGTTTCTGGATTACATTTTTCATGATTGAATACAATGGTAGTTTGATACGTGAAACACTTGATTTAATGGGGGCTCTAGCGTCCAGAAATAGATTCTAGGCACGGTGCTAGGTCGCATCGCAACAACCTGCTAAACCGGCAGGTGTGGTTGCAAAAGGTACAAGAAGAGCGAGGGAGGTATTTGTGCGGCGTGGTGTTCCCCGGGCGCGGCGCGCGGCGGGGAGTGCGTCGGTGCCGGGCCAGGCTGCACGCTGCACCGCACCAAGGTCAGCCGCCGCACGCATGCGCGTCCCTCCCCCTACCTGCCACCTTATCGGAACTCGGAACCTGCACCCGTGCCACTTATGCGTTCCTGTGAGTTGCACTCCAAATAATGTCCGCACCGTCACCGCGGCCAACTTGTAGAATCGTATATACAACTGCAAAAGCCATCAAGGTACTATTACAGCTACATTGTTGGATAACTTAGGAAAAGTTTGATGAAATGCTGAATTCCTATTTAAACTTATTTGTAAACTAGGATTTGTGGCAGTTTTGAAATCCTTATTAATAAGGATGGTTTGTTAATTAGAATAAATAGGGATGGTTTGATGAAAAATGTTGATGCTCATTTCTGTGAGTCTGGTCTTCGGTTAGCGTCATTGTTGTGCATGCAACTAGGTAACTTCTCAATCGAAGAACTGGTTTGTCTGCACCAAGTGCCCATCAATCGTTTCCGCAAGATATTCAACAGTTAAAATGGCTTGACTTGATTTTTTCCGCTTCCGCAAACTGATCAGAGTTCAGGGTTCCGCAACACTTATATGCATTGTACTATTCTTGGCATAATCGTCGATAGACTGTATCTGAAATGTAAGATAAATAAACACAGCGTATAGCTACGTGTAACCGAGATAACACGTGCCACTCGCGCCTCGCTCCGACGTAACGCAGCCAAATACTGAACGTTCTGTGAGTTCTGTCGTAAACTTGGAGAAATCCTATTATGAAGATTAGTACTTCTGACGTAAGAGCTATGTTACATTTACATGTTAACGCGAACGTAGATTACTTTTAGATTTATATTCTTCAATTTCCAGTGGTGAAAATTTGCTAAAATGTTTAACATACTGTCTAGCTGTGGTCCTATAACCACTTTAAATGCGCATAACTGTCACGACTGTAGAGTAGTTTTGGCTTCATCTAGGTCGAAATTGTAAGGTTTTCTGCTAAAGTATGTTTGTGTGTAAAGGGGAAGTCTGACA